GACTATCCAGATAATGAATTAACAGGCTAATTTTAATTGTATGTGAACGCTTAGGAGATAATATTCGTAGACCCATTTCACATTATGGCAAAAGTGGTCTCTATTTTTCCCACTTTGATTTGGTTTGTATATTAGACTTACACCATCCCCAAGACAAACTTCTGCTGCTCTAGGTACTTGCTGATCTTTTTCTGTCATTTGATAAGCAACTTTAGACTTGCGCATCGATCTATGAGAACTAACGAAATGATGAAATTTTTCTTAGCTTTTGTTTAAGTCTTATGTATATAGCAGCCAACGGTAAGCCAGATAATTTTCCTGATTCGTCGCTAGCATGAATTTGTTATTAGAATGTCCATCTCTGAAGTCCTTCGTCACATGGCACGACAAGTTATCACGTTCTCACCTAACATCTCATTATAGCAAAACGACGACAGGCCAAGGAGAGTCAATGTCTTCTGCTGTGATTGGTATACTAACTTATTTACTACATACTTCATGAAAGTCGGCTTAGCTCGTTGATATAGGCGCATTTAGGACTTTATTTATTTGTGATCAGACTAAGCTCTTTCTTTTCACGCCAACAAAGTCAAGTATTCTCTGAAGGATATTTTGCGACCGGGACTCTGTAATTGTAATTGTAAGTCTCGTAAACTTGAGCTGCCTAATGTATTTGTAATCCTCTTTCGCAATAAAATGCTGCCAGGACGTTTTTCGCAGTTATTTGGGACGGGCAAGTACTAACCATTTTTCAATGTTCTCTTATCGTTGCCTGATTTATTTTCCTATAGGATGTAATTGCATGCTAACCACAAGATTATATCGGGGATACAAACCGTTCATTATGTTATGCTAGGACTGCCTACATGGTCTACTTGTTTGCTTTGCGTTGATTTCTGGGACATTTATTTACATTAAGTGCCTTTGGTGTCTACAAATATATTTAGATTTAGATTATAAGGATCGACTATTGCCTCTTGCTTTGCCCCTAACTTGGCGGTTTAGCTGTTCTTTTCGAAGGACATGCTTGACGCTGCTCCAACAGCCACTTTAGCAGATCGTAGGCATTAAAACTATAAGTTAACGCTGTTTCCTGTGCTAGCTGAAGGATTAAAGATATGGATTTTCGGATGAAAGAAGCCCCGTATAATTCATGCTTTTAACAGAAATACACTTGGCACTCAATACACTTAATAATATTTAATTATTACTATATATCCTGTATTGGATTTTCCCTTATCGCTGACTCGCCTCACCAAATATAAATCTAAAGTAGCCTGCCTTGCCATCTCATTCGTTTGTGCATCGTAGCAGTATGGTAGAGTTCTGCCTGATGGCCCTCCACTCTGGATTTCCATTATCTTACCTGGGCAAGGTCTAAACCGCAGATCACTTGATATGAAGGCCTTTGATATTGTTGGTGCAATAAACCTTGTCAGGGAGAAATTATGTACCATTTAGTGTGCATAGAATAGATCTTCCCATTTTCTTTTCTCCAATGATGCCCAATAAGGTCTAGGTTGAGCTGATGTTATCTTTTGTTTATTACTTGTTGATTGGATAGAAATTTCTCTGATTTGAAGTTTTAAGACTGATACACATGGGAATTTATTCCTGATGTCATACGCTCAAAATAGTTAAAGTTCACAAGTTTCCTTTCTAACCAAAGAGGTCTTATTAATCTTAACTGTATGATTGCCCCAAAATTATTGCAGCGAAATCTCTAATACCTTAATTCCTTTATAATTGGCATCCTTCGCCCACATCTGTTTTTATCTTTAGTCTCGTTTTATCATGTACATACTAGTATGATCTGCAGAGTGAGAAGGCTTGCTTTAGCATTTTTGATTTTGCCTGTTCTTCACTGGGCCACGCTACCAGTTCCTTGCTGAGTTTCGGCTCCCGGAAATTGCAGAAGGTACTTTTCGTAATGCCGAAGGGTCCCGACGACGTTCCCTCTTGCTCTGAGACCAAACATCTTGAAACTCTTAGCCCCGAGATTAGTTGGCCGAGTGATCTGCATCCGGAGCTACATGGTGACATTGTTTATTCGCAATCCACATCTTACTCCTCACCTCTGGATTCATGCTCGCATTCACTATCCCCTCGGTCAGATGGAATCCTGGCTTCTGGCGCTGAATCTATCCAGCCGGGCTCATATGGGCCCTGGCGGGACTCATGCTTTGAGAGCCGTGCATCCAAGTTTGAAGTAGGCCACATAAGCGGGGCTAGAGTCGAACAAGAATCGAGTCCTCCAGTCTCTGAGTGGTCCTTGCTGACGGAGCCGAATCAAGCCTTGGTCCTTGATCAACCCCGTTCTCATTTGGCACTGTCCAATCCAGTTTCATTTGCATCGCTTTCCCAAGTTCAGGTGAGCTTCTTCCAGAATAGCATATTTTACTTTGATGACTTTGCAAGCCAGCTGGATACGTCTATCGGCACTCACAATTTTGGATTCGGAAGCGTTTGCCATCTATAGCTTGCAATATGAGCTTTTGATGGTATTCGTTAAAATAGCTTCGTTTTTCTGGTGCCATTAACCAAATATTAAGCTATACTCTGATACCTTTTCCATAAAAGTTATAAACATATAGTTAACATTTTTATTAATGATATTCCTGTAAGAATTTGTGTACGCCTCCCTAAATTTTCCGATGGTGTCTCACGCTAACAAATCGAATTTAAACATCCTTCCTATACTTCTTAATTAGTCTGATCGTTTGCTAGGGATATCCCTTAAGCCTATCTGCGATATGACTATTATGTATGGTCGCATCTAATGGCGTCACTTTGTTACAGCTCTTAATGGGTTCCAGTTATTTGGTGAAATCATTTCAATTTAGATTTTGACACCTCTAGACTGGATATTCATACATCCTAGTTATTTTTTATTTGAGTATGCAGGCGCAAAACCATCTGGTACACGAATTAGGAAGACTGAACAATATCTTAATTCAAAGCAATTATTTACTAGGATTAATAGGCAATTGCTTTTCATTATTCATAAATTTAATGCGGAGAAATATTTTTTAAGGACCAGGTGGGCAGATCACTATTTTTTATAGATAGTAGGCTTCGAGACTCAGTAATTTTTGATTGAAAATCTAGTCGTCATCGGTCGCATTGATAGTTGAGTTCTCTCTCAATGAGCTGAATAGGTCTTTTCATAATATTGAATTTCGCTTAGCTTTGCCTCCCAAAAGGCTATCTCATCCAGGATGGACTGCAGTTTCTTACTTGCTTATGTTTCATCACCACCCTTAATTAAATTCGATCGTGTGTATCATGGCCGCATTGCCACTCCACTGCACAATTTCGGGTGCCATAGGTGGCACTCAAAGCAAACAGACCTCCCAAATTTCGTTTAGAGTAGGAGTGTCGATTAATCAGGCATGTAGTTGCCATTGCACTCGACAAGTTACTTATTTTCGGCATCATTCGATCTCGGCTAAGTTCTTATTTAAGCCTGACTCAACCCAATTATACCGGAAATAAATGATGATACTGTAATTTTGGAGAGGCCTAATCCATCACATCTGTCCTTTGATCCACTGGAACCTGTGGCTATTTGCTGGAATTGTAACGTCGCCATGCTACTCACGTCCTGGTATCAACTCCCATTGGGTTTGCTGATGCAACCTAGGCTAGATTGAAATTGCAATCCACCCTGAACAATAAAGCCTTTTGTGGGACAAAGCCAGGTGAAATTCAATAGGTCTGCTCAGCTCATTGTTGGAAAATTCAACTATCAGTCTTTAAATTACCTTTAGTGATCAAGAGTGATCAAAGTGGTTATAGGTTCTTATTCAAAACATACCACTAATCTCTTTCTAATGTTGCCAGCATGTTGGCTCTCGAAAAAGTGTAAGTGAAATGTTGGGCTAGTGGTACATTAGAACATAAAGAGAGTTTAATATTTTCCTCGGTTATGTCTTCCTTTCTATAATCTTCGTACCCTTTTTCTTGATCAGGATGCTATAAGGTTTTGTGCTCATGTGGGCACGTCTATATGGGGAAAGCTTGTCGACTAATATGTAAGAGGTTCTCTATGAGATGTATTCACTCGATTTCGTTTAAGATGATAATAGGGCTGGTAGTTGAATTTTCCTACTATATCATGAGTAGACCTTACGATTCCATTTAATTTAACATAGCCTATCTTTTCTAAAAGGTATTCTCATCAGACTGCTACCTTTCCCCTTATCACCTCAGATTAAATAGGGTAAATACATCTCATATATATGATATATCGGTAGTCTCAGAAACCTGTTTATAAATCGAAAATATAAGATATTGTCTGAACACAAAACAGCATACCGCTGTCTATTAGTTCCAAAACCAAAATTGGCCGAACATGGCTAATACGGGGCATTAAATAGAGTAGTTAGAAGTATAGACCTAAACAAAACAACCAACAGAGGGCTGTGTGGAAAATTGGGTGTGAACTATTGTGACTATTGGATAGGCTTAAGCAGGGGGAACGAGGAGGAACGTACATAACCGTTGTGCAAGAGAAATAGGCTTGAATTGCTCCGAGTCTGATTAGAGCTCTCACACCTCGCGTGCCTCAACCTTTGTATACACACAATACGCACTACCATGTACTGAACATACCCAACATTGCAGGATCAAATATTAGTTTATTTATGTAAGGAAGCCGCTGTGACTACAATCGCTACCTTGCATGCATCAACTTCACTCATATGTAATCCTGTAGGGTAAGCATAAAGTAACCAATCTAATCATAGGATGCCTCATTAAGATCGCAAAATTACTTATTAGAAGTGAGTATGGTTGCAGCTCGCTTCGCCTGGCCTAGTGTAAAATTATGGCTTATCGCTCTGACCATGTCTGTTGCATGATAGACAAATGCTCATCACGGATTCATCGCGGTCGCAGGATGGCGAGCCAAGAACTTCCAAAAATATAGAGGTTTTCACTTTTAAGCAATATTTTGATTTCCGATGGGGCCCATTTACGAATCCCTTCAAGCCAACTCTTAAATTGAAAACTCGTTTCGTGGTATTTCGGGTCCAAATATTTAATGAGTTAAAACTTCCTAAGTTGATTTCAAAGGCGTTGGGCGAAAACGCTAACCCTAATAACAATTTGTCAGACTTAGCCAAAGGAATTTCATCCTTATTGCTCAAGGATTAGAATGAAGGAGTAGATGTTTTGGCGTTCTGTATATGTACATGTGTATGCATCCTAATGTGTAGATTGCTATGGTTGGCTCTTTAGTCACACTGAATCGTTTTTCATTATTTGTTTATTTTCTCCTGATCCATATTTCATCTCTTTTAGGAGGAATCATTCTGCGATGGCAGTGGGGAGCCGAGCATGGAAGATGATTTGGGAGACGAAGAGGATGAGGAGGCTCCTAGTGAACTGGAAGTTACAGGCGATGAAGTAAGGGATGAAGGGAATACGAGTGGGCAATCACAATGTGAAGAGGAAGAGGAAGAGGTCCCAGTATTGAGAGATTTTCCTCTACCCGCCGACGACAGTCCAACAGACCATTCACTTTGTTCCTCTTCTCCATCGGGACCCTCACTGGCCATAAGTGAAGGTATCGTCACTAACTCGTTACAGGAAGCACTCTCTTTGATTGACTCTCCTCCCGCCACCCCGGCCACCCCCATTTCTCATTGCGCTCCTGTCGAAATTTTCCAATCTGAGACTGCCCTGACTTCCGGAGAAATTGTCACCCATACGTCGAGATTTCCTGAGCTTTTTTTGGCGACGATTTCAACAGAGTTGCCAACTGAAACTCAAGAGGAGCAGCTTCGAATGGACGATCACGTGACCTCCCCTTATGAGAGTCATATATGTAATTCGCCTCCGGTTTTTTGCGAGTGCTCCCCCAACTCTCATTTTTCTGCTGATACAGCCATCGCTTCTATCTCAACATCATCTTTTGTAGCTGGGCAGCCGAGAGCCTCTCAGATTACATTATCTGCATCAGGACCTAATTCATTTAACTCTCTTCCTCTCATTGAAGGGTCCTGTGAATTGACTATAGGTTCACCTGGCATACAATCATTGCTTCTAAATATAGGCAAGTAGCTTAAGCCTAATTTTATGCACTTTTTCTATTCGCTCAAGAACCCACAATTTTCCTTCTGCAAATGAATATATATCAAACCTAGACTAATTATTTGTCGGATGCCGTAAATTAGCATGAATGCTATAGCAGAGGATGCCAGACTAGCTCTCCATCCAACTTCGATTAAGTTGCAAAAACGAAGTCAAACCGACACTATACAGCTACAAGTGACTGTGATCAAACCTTAGGCCAAACTTTCTTGGTCCTCATATCCACGATTTATATTATAAAGGCTGGAGTGC